ATAAGATTCACAAAAATAAAACTGCTGCAAATTATGCAGCCATATTATTTTTGTATGATTTCCAAGGGTTAGGATTTTATAAATAATATTCTTATTAATGGTTTGTAATTGCAAAAAAATTAACTAATTACTAAAACCCCAATCTTTACAAATCATATTTCCTGCAAAGGAATAGAGATGTTTATATTGAATAAGATCTGTTTTTCAATGTGTTCTATTAATAGTGACTTAAGCAAAGAACTCCTTGCAGATTTTTTTTTCTATTTTTGAGAAAAAAAACGTTTTTTTCTCTTTTTAACCAGACAGAAGGAGGCATGGTGGAGTAATGGATAGCAGCTCTGATTGAGGAATCAGAGAGCCAAGTTTTAATTCCAGTCAAATCCATTACATTATGTGCCAATACCTTTGGGAAAGGTATGAATCCTCTTCTTTTCCCCCCAGCTATAGGTAATAGCAGGACAGACTGGGTTCTATAGCCTTGGATGGCAACTGGTCTACCGCAGAAAGAAATGGTAACCTACTGCAGGAAAAAATCTGCCTCATCAGTCATGTATCAAAAGATACATGATCAACTAAGCGTGTATCACGTATGGCACATAACTGACTGAACCAGACAGAAAACTGTACTTTTAACATAAATGAATACATAGAAATCTATATTTTTATCACTTTATTTATAAAATGACCATGATTTTCAGTTTGAGAAAAAAAATGTATAAGTTTTTGCCAGTTTTAGAAATAAATAGTTGCCTGTTTGTTTAAAGAAGGAAAAAAAATAACTAAAGATAGTTATTTGACTTTATGTTCATCAAGGCTGAAGTGAAGAAATTTTCTGTCGATTCTTCTTGCATTTCTTCCCTGGGTGCCACCCATTCAGCCTTTCTTCCCTGTATACCCATGTTGGTATTTCTGTCTTGTGTGTCCATGTCATTATTTCTTCCCTGTGTGCCCATGTTGACATTTCTTCCTTTTGCCACCCACTCAGCCTTCCTTCCTTGTGTGCCCATGTTGACATTTCTTCCTTTTGCCACCCACTCAGCCTTCCTTCCCTGTGTGCCCACATTGACATTTCTTCCTTTTGCCACCCACTCAGCCTTCCTTCCCTGTGTGCCCATGTTGGCATTTCTTCCTTGTGTGCATACTTAGACATTTCTTCACTTTGAGCTACCCACTGAGCCTTTCCTTCCTGTATGCCCACATTCACATTTTTTTCTGTGACATCTTCAGTATTTCAAACCATGTGTTTGCATTTCTTCTCTGTGTGTCGACCTCAGCAAACTATATCTGTTTCTAGTAGGAAAGTATATATAAAAAAAGCACTTTTATACATTCAATGAGTTTCTCTCATAATTATTCAGCATAGTCTGGCAAAATGCCACCACAGGAGAGTATCCAGCAAGGAACAAACTATAGTAGCAATGGTCAGCAACATAAGCTTGTTAACCATCACTCTGCAGCAGGTACATCTGTATGGATACTCACTAAGCTAAGGATGTGTGAGTGGGACAATGGTTATTAGCAGAGAAAATAGAATTGGTTGGCCAATTTCAAAGTTTGTTGTGTTCAGTTTGCATTCATGTCCTTGGGAAAATTATAAATTCATCTTTTCTTTATCCCCGACCAATCTATGGGTAAAATAAGTGGAAAAGGAAATGGTACAATAATGATATTATTAAGATGTTAACTTTCCTCATTACCAAGAGCAAAAAGTTTGTAAGGAAACCATATCAAAATTAGAAAGAGCTATGACATTTAGCAAACTTGTAAAGTCTAATTTCCTGAAAAACTTTTTTAATAAAAAGATTTTACAAATTTTAACACTGTTTGGTCAATAAATGATGAATTTTTCCTGTATGGAAACAAATAATTTTACCATTCTCAAACCACTCCATTATCTTTCCCAAGAATACCCATGGCAATTCCCAATCCTCGGATATTAAAGAAAAGAAAAAACATGGAGAGTTATGATTGCCTATTTATTGAATGGATATGGTTTCTTTTTAATTTTTAAACTCAACTTAGTCTGTCTCAAGGACAAAATAGAGAGTCATTAATTAATGACCAATTTACAAGTGAACTTGACTTCAAGATAAGCACAATTCATTTCTCAATAAATAAATAAAGTGCAAGTGGTGTAATTGTTATTAGCATGAATAATGAAATCAACAGGCAGTGTTCAAATTCTGTCAAAGACTGTTGTGTTCATTTTACACTTATGCTCTGATTAAAAGCATTAATCCAGTTCCTTTTCACCTACCCCAAGCTATAAGCATGATAAATAGAGAAAGCAATGGGAAACCATTCTTCTGCTATTTGTAAGAGGTCTTATTCCCTGAAAAAATACATTTTGAACATAAAAATCCAGGTTTTGACAGTTATAAGAGTTTATAGAAATTCATATATCAATATATATTAAATAAACATAGATACCCTATTTCAGAGCATAATAAAAATTTGGGTTTGGTTTGTTTTACAGCATATCAACCCCAATGGATTATTTAATGCCGACAAGATTTTTATAGCTTTAGCGGTGGATTGTATGTACAAATTCCACTCAAGGTCTGGTTGGTTTGCTTTGGTTTGTTTGTACAGCATATCAACCTCAATGGGTTATTTAATGCCGACAAGATTTTTATAGCTTTAACGATGTATTGTATGTACAAGTTCCACTTAAGGTCTGGTTGGTTTGCTTTGGTTTGGTTTGGTTTACGGCATATCAACCTCAATGGGTTATTTAATGCCGACAAGATTTTTATAGCTTTAATGATGGATCGTATGTACGAATTCCACTTAAGGTCCGGTTGGTTTGCTTTGGTTTGGTTTGTTTTACGGCATATCAACCTCAATGGGTTGTTTAATGCCGACAAAATTTTTATTTCTGGCAATATTTTTTCTTCAAAAATGTATAGCTGGTAATATTTTTTTTTTTACCAAAAATGTATAGCTGGTATTACCTTTTTTCCAAAAATGTATTGCTGTAAATAAATTTTTTTTACAGAGTATTTTTGGTATCAAAATCTATTTTTCCACTTTCATAGTTTTTACCCCAATTTGGGGGTTAACTATTTAACCATAGTTGGGATCCTAACAGGTGCTACCTCCCCTGGTAAAACCAGCAATTAAGAAGCAGTTCTACACTCATCAAAACCTCCTGATCAGAGGTCTTGCTGTTAGACGTAGTTTATTGTCTTACCCAGGATGCGGATGTAGTTTATCGTCATACTCAGGATGGATAAAAATTTTGTTTTTCTTGTTTTTGCTAGAAAAGAAAATTACACAACTTTTTTTTTTCTAACATGCTTGTGTAAATGGATGGCAGAACAAGAAGGGGTAGGGATAATTTAAAAAAATATATATTGCTAAGAGATATCAAAGGTAGGAAGTTGTGGAAAGCCATGATTGTCCACATCTTGAAGGAACACAGCACATAGATTATTATGATTTCTGCAACTTATTATAACAAGTGGATATGTTTTTCTTCTGCGTTCGTGTTCTTTGTTTTTTTTAAATTTTGTATGAAGTATAAAAAAATAAAAATACAGAATTTAAAAAAATGGAAGAAAATGAATACCAAGAGTTAAGTAAAAATAGCAAACAATATAATTTATTTTTCATAGTCTGTTGAATTCATTATACCACAGTAAATAGCAAATGTTTTGTTTGTCTGTATCGTCAAATATGAGGACTATTTAAGGTTTTGTAAAAAAAAGAAAGAAGATTCTTTGCTCCCTGAGTGCCTCCCAAATTTATGTGTTAAAATAGATGCTAGCAGTACTAACTTATTCTACCCTCCCTGAAAAACTAAGATTTGACAAGAAATTTATACCTACACCTAGTTCTTAGACCCCTTTGCACCCCTAGACACAGGAGAGTATTTCAGTGATTAAACAAAATACTTTTAAGCAACTCTTCATATTATCTTTTTCTTTACTATAAAAATATGACTTATTTTATTAAGATCTATATTTGACCATGAATTTTTTTTTTTTTTTTAGCTTTTCACCCCAAGCAAGGTGGGAGTGCCACCAGTATGCAAGGGGTTATAGAAAGTGAGAGCAAGAGTAAAGAAGGATGAAGAGAAGGATGTGGAATAGATCAAGGCATCTGGAGATATCGATTGGCATTTATTATTTAGTTATTTTTACAGATACAAATATTTAAGTAAATGCTCTGTTTATAATAAACAGAACGTTTACTGAAATATTTGTATCTATAAAATAATGTATAAACAAAAAAATTTTTTTTAAGCATTCAACCCCAAGCAAGGTGAAAAGCCACTAGCATGCGAGGGGTTACAGAGTTGGAGCGAGAACAAAGAGGAGTGATAGAGAAAAGGATAGAGAGAAGGTTAGGGGATAGATCAATTGATGTTACATTTGAATAGTTGGAAATTATAGCTATCAGGGAAGCGAGTAAGAGGAAGGGAGTTCCACAAACGGGAAGTGTGAGACATGAAGCTATTGGAGTAGAAAAGACAGCTACTTTTAACCCTTTTGAGAGTGAAAGGGTGGGAACTGAGATACCAACCTAGTGGCACGTTTCAATTCATGCAGTTTGGGAACAGGTGAAAATAGCTTGTCAGAGCAGTTACTATAAAAGTATTTGTAGAAAAGACAGAGAAATAGAAAAAGATGCCTCCCAAAAGCTAAGCAAATTAATAAGAAACAGGAAAATTTTGTCAGAAGAGAGTACTGAACTGTTATATAATATTGGTCCTTCTATATGGCAGTGAATGCTGAACAATCTCATTAAAGATGAAAAAAAAAAAGACTTGAATAAAGAGAAATGTGGTTCTACAAAAGGATACCGAGAATACCATGGACTGAACATGTGAACAACAAGAAAGTTTTAGAGAAAATGAAAATAAAAAGAATGTTTACACCTAGAATCTGGAAGAGAGTTGAAATTTTAAGGTACATAATGAGAAAAGGAAGCTTGGAAAATTTGATACTCACAGGACAGATTGAATGCAAGAGGGACAGAGAAAAGCAATGCATCAACTATGTAACCAGCTTGTGTAAATGATAGATAGATAGATAGATAGATAGATAGATAGATAGATAGATAGATAGATAGAAAAAATGCTGAGGATAGGTAGATAGATAAGCAGAGAGAAAGAGAGAGAGAGAGAGCGCGAGCGATAGAAAGATATGAAAAATTGTGACAATTAGGAAAGTAGTGAAATAGAGAGATAGAATTAAAGAAAAAGAAGATAGATAGATAGATAGATAGATAATGGACAGACTGTAATAGATAGATAGATAGATAGATAGATAGATAGATAGATAGATAATGGACAGACTGTAATAGATAGATAGATAGATAGATAGATAGATAGATAGATAGATAGATAGATAATGGACAGACTGTAATAGATAGATAGATAGATAATGGACAGACTGTGATAGATAGATAGATAGATAGATAATGGATAGACTGTGATAGATAGATAGATAGATAGATAATGGACAGACTGTGATAGATAGATAGATAGATAATGGACAGACTGTAATAGATAGATAGATAGATAGATAGATAGATAGATAGATAGATAATGGACAGACTGTAATAGATAGATAATGGACAGACTGTAATAGATAGATAGATAGATAGATAATGGACAGACTGTAATAGATAGATAGATAGATAGATAATGGACAGACTGTAATAGATAGATAGATAGATAGATAATGGACAGACTGTGATAGATAGATAGATAGATAGATAGATAATGGACAGACTGTAATAGATAGATAGATAGATAGATAATGGACTGACTGTGATAGATAGATAGATAGATAGATAGATAGATAGATAGATAGATAGATAGATAATGGACAGACTGTAATAGATAGATAGATAGATAGATAGATAGATAGATAGATAGATAGATAGATAGATAGATAGATAATCAGTTGAAATTTGTAGGGCACCTCATGAGAAAAGAGTGCTTGGAAAATTTGATGCTGAGTAAATATTGAATGCAAGAGGGACAAAGAAAAGCAGCAAATAACCTAGCCAATGAAATTGTGTAAATGGTTGGCAGAACAGGTATTAGGAGAGGCAACAAAAAGCTGATGAAAAGGTACAAAGCTTAGGAAATTGTGGAGAGTGATAATTGCCCACATTCTGAAAGGACATAGTACATGAAAAAAGATATGACTTTTTTCTACTTGAACATTTAAGTTGAAATTATAATTAATTTTTCTTTATCATGACTTTTATGACCCAAACGAAGTATGCCTTATGGTGACTTCCATGGCTTTTGTCACTTTTTACAGTCACTGAATAGGCAGCTCAACTCACTCTCCAAAATCTTAGCCTAGTCTGCAACATGGCTACACTTACAGAGCACCTAAGGGAGATCAAACTTGCAGATTGGTCTGTGAGACAAGACAAGTGAAGCTTGCTGTATTACCACCTCTCTCTTTTATCTTGGTTTTATTTTTTTTTAACATTTTCTTGTTTGATGAAAGAGCCAAAGAAGTAGTCAAGTGAGTCAGCCTCTATCTGGGAAGGGCAGTTTCTGCTGGTGAGGGAGACATGTGACGGTGGCAGAGAAGAAGGAAGTTAACTCACTAGAAGAAGTAAGGGAATGGTTAGGAGAATGAAGGCGATGACAGAAAGTGAAGTGTGTGCACCATTCTCCCTACGGGCTCGTGTGAATGTGCATCATTCTATTTGTGTTACTGGTCGACTGCTTATCACAAAGAAGCCTATAAACAACATGGCCAGTCGGTCAGTTGGCTGCTATTTTTATTTGCCTCCCACAATACACAAAACTACTGAATACACTTATAACATTTGACTTGATAAAGATGGTAGATATGGAAGGGGAGCCTCATGCTGGTTATTACAACCCAACATAATGATGACTATGCACTTAGTCTTCAATGTCATACTCCCTACAAAATACATTTTGAGGGCAAAGATGAAGGTGTTGACAATTATATGGGTACTATGTGCTCTTATCAGAAATGTTTGCAGAAATTCAAATTTTCAGAATAATTTAATAAATAAACAGATATCATATCTGAAAATATCATTAATTTTTTTAGAAATTCTTGTTTTTCTTATTTTTACTAAAAGAGAAAATAGCTCAATTTTTGTAAAAGCAAATAAAAATAAAAAAAACAATTTCAATAAAGCAATAATTAATTTCTTTATACAATCAATCTTTGTTTTTACATTTGTTAAATTTATTAATTTGTATGCTTAAAGATTTATTTTTTTGTTGCTATCCTTAGATAAGGTTTCTCTTATCTATTTTGTCAAGTGTATGAACATATATCTGCTATAAGCACACTGCATAAAATGTTTTATGCTTTGTTTATAGATCATTTATTCTGTTGTCTCTATCCTTAGCTAAGGTTTCCTTTATTCATTTTATAAGTGTATGGACATATATCTGCTATAATCACATTGCATGTTTTATGCATTGTTTACTGATGATTTATAATTTTGCCTCTATCCTTAGCTAAGGTTTCCCTTATCTATTTTGTAAAGTGTATGGATGTCATTCTTCTATATGAACATTGCATAAAACATTTTATGATTTCTTTATAGATCATTTATTCTTTTATTTGCCTCTATCCTTAGCTAAGGCTTCCTTTATCCATTTTCTAAGTGTATGGATGTATATATGCTATAATCACATTGCATGATCTATGCAGTTGACTGATGATTCATACTTTTGACTATCCTTAGCTAAGGTTTCCCTAATCTATTTTATGAAGTATATGGACATATATCTGCAAAAATCACATTGTAGTTTTATGCTTTTCTTACAGATGATTTATATTTTTGCCTCTATCCTTAGCTAAGGTTTCCTTTATCTATTTTGTAAAGTATATGGATGTCATTCTTCTATATGAACATTGCATAAAACATTTTATGCTTTCTTTATAGATCATTTATTCTTTTATTTGTCTCTATCCTTAGCTAAGGTTTCCCTTATCTATTTTGTAAAGTATATGGACATATAGCTGCAAAAATCACGTTGCAGTTTTATACTTTGTTTGCAGATGATTTATATTTTTGCCTCTATCCTTAGCTAAGGTTTCCCTTATGCAAAGTGCATAAATTTTTTATGCTTTCTTGTGGTAATCATAAAGCAGAGACAAACCATTCTATTAGAATTATTTTTGTGGATGGCTTTCTCTCATTGGTCAATTTTTTCTTTTATTTTTAGCTTTAAAACCCTGTGGAAATTTGCTTTTGTTTCTTTTCTAAGCACAGCATCATTCACTCTAAAACAGATGTTGAGCTGTTAATCCTGGAAACAAAAACTGCAAATGTCTTTGAGCAAAAAAAAAAAAAAAAACATCATGCCTTGTGCAATCCTAAATTCATCTTGAAAAACCAGATGAACTTTTTCACACAAAGGGAGGAAATTTACAAACTTTTTATATAACATATTTCATTATCTGTCTATATTTCCGAGATGAGGTATTGTAATTATTTACATTGTTCGGAATGCTGTTCTCATCTTTATAGTCATATTCACGACGTTTCGACCATTGTACGCTCCAGCATACTTCAGGATCTGTCTATATTTCCGAGATGAGGTATTGTAATTATTTACAGTACTTACATTGTTTAGACTATTATTCTTTGTTGTCATATTCATGATGTTTCAGCCATTGTATACCCCAGCCTTCTTCAGGTGATAAGAATTTTTAAGCAAACCCATCATTCGAGTTCCACATGCCTCTTCCAGATATTTCAGTTGTTTCCCTTTAACTCAACTCTTCACGTTATTTGTTCACCTCTACTGAGGCCAGGTATTGAACTCACAACTCTTTGAATTACAAATGTTTTTATTCACAGGAACATCCTTGAGGACATCAGTGTATGAATTTTTGGGACTTGTAAACCTAATATCAGTCATTTTTTTTACCAGAACTCATATTACAATTACTATCACCTGAAGAAGACGGGTGTACAATGTCCGAAACATTATGAATATGACAATAAAAATGAAGACAATTATCTAAACAATGTAAATACTGTAAAAATATTGAATGTGTTTACTTGACTTGCAAAGATGTTCATAACAGTAAGTACTTTTGTTTTAAAAAAAAAAAAAAAACAGATTCTGGAACTGTGCAAAATATAATAGTAAGTCTTTGATTGGCCCTGTATTGATTCTGCCTTTCAACAGCATGGCTGATGCTAACCTCCAGGAGAGCAACTCTTTGCACCTTCATGGGCTTATGTTTTCCACTGACATGAAGTGGAGTGATAATATTGAACTAGCAGCATGGCCTGGCATTGCCCGTGCTTGATTAAAAAATCGTACAACTCATACAGCAATCGCTATCACTTGACTTAAAATATTTTTGCCCTTCCTTGCCTTTAAAGGAGTGCCCTTTGCCGTGCTGATGTTGCTACATGCCTTACTTCTTGCCTATCTCACACTGCAAATTTTTTCGAAGCTCTTTACTAAACATTAAATCTGTTACAAAAAAAGAACTAAACAAAATGAACACAAAACGATCAGCTTTAAAAAAGGACTCATAACTGGAAAAACCAAATGAAAAAAATGTTAACAACAAATACTTTTTCATATCCAACCCAGTTCTGCAGAATCAATGTTGAATTTAAGCAAGCAAATGAGCCAATTGGAGTAAAGTGCCATGCAGATTTAAATTTTTCCCACTTGTGACGAATGCAACTATTGATCTTTTTTGCATGCTACCATGCTAGTTAACATTCGTGTCAGTCAGCTGTTGGCTCTCACACTGGCCAATAGAATCTTCCTGCCTATTCATGGCAGCTGGCTATAGGCTCTCACTCTGGCCAGTAGAAAATGGCTGCAAACTACAGGAAAACTGCCATAGAAGCATGAAAAAATTTCCACTATTGATGGGAGTTGGGAAATGCAAAGTTGGTCTTGGCCTTCCCGTTAACTTGGAGCATGTGCATGTAAATTTTGGTGCAAATCCTTCGAAAATTGTGGCTGTGCATTCGTTACACACACACACACACACATGCTGCCTTTTATAGATAGAGATCAACTAGGTCTACTGCTAGGAAAGTTGGTTCACTGTGTTGTGCCAGACAATTTTTCTCTTCAGAATCCATCTTGCACATTTATAAATCTACCATTCGTCTGTGCATTGAATATTGCTGCCATATCTGATCTGGTTCACATAATACATATCTCAAAATTTTTTGACAAAATCCAAAGAAAAGTCTGTAATGTAATTGATCATGACCTGGCATCTCAACTTCAGTCACTTTCCCACCAATGTGACATGGCTTCCCTAACTTTTCTATAAATATTTTCATGGCAATTCTTCTGCTGAGCTTTGCTCCTTGATTCCATGAATTTAAGTGTACTATTAGACTGGTAACTTGGTCTCACCATTTTACTGTTGAACTAGTTAGATGCAACTATAAGTTCCATTCTAATAGTTGCTTTTCTCACACTTCTCGCCTGTCAAACTCTTTCCTGGTTACTTGCTTCTCTGTTAAATACAATCTTCAAAAATTTAAATGCAACACCAATCATCATCTTCTGTCTTCCTGAAGCCTGTTCTTTTATTGTCCTTTCTCATCAATAAAATCTTACTATTCTCTTTACTTCAAGTAACCCCTTACATCTTAGTGATATTGACACTGGGTGAAATGATTTAAAAGAAAAAAATATGGAAACCTTAAAACCACCAATTTTTAGACAAATGTTTTCTGCTGACATAATTATATTAAATCAATTGCTAAGTCTGTTACTAAGAAAGTTGGTTCAATATGTCGTACTAGACAATTTTTCCCACCAGAATCTATCTTACATATGTATACATCTACCATTTGTCCATGCAATGAATATTTCTGCCATCTCTAGTCTGGTGCACCTGCTATATATTTAGAGATTCTTGATAAAATCCAAAGAAGAATCTGCAATGTTATTTGTCCTGATCTGGCATCTTGGCTTCAGTTATTTTCCCACTGCTGTAACATAGCTTCCCTGTGCCTTTTCTATAAATATTTTCATGGTAATTGTTCTAATGAGCTTTCCTCTTTGGTACTTAGACCTTATGAAGTACAGTACTAGTCTGGTGGCACGGTCTCATCATTTTACAGTTGAAATGGTTAGAACTATAAGTTTTACACTAATTGTTTCTTCTATCACACTTCTTGATTGTGGAACTCTCTTCCGGCTTCTTGATTCCCAGTCAATTTTGGTCTTCAAAAATTTAAATGCAATGCCAATCGTTATCTTCTGTCTTCTTAATTCCTGTTCTTTTATTGTTCTCTCTCACCTTAATAGTGTTTTCTTTTTCTTTAAATCTAAGTAACCTCTTGCATCTTAGTGGCATAGTGTTAAATGATTAAAAAAAAACAAAAAAACATTAATATTGAAAGAAAAAGAGAAGGGAACAGAGAGAGAAAGATCTGTGAATAGAGAGAGATAGAAAGAGAGTGATGTGAACAGAAATAGAGAGAGTGATGTGAAAAGAAATAGAGAGAGAGAGAGAGATGGGAACAGACAGAAAGAGAGAGATGCGAACAGGGAGAAAGAGAGAGATGTGAACAGAGAGAGAGAGAGAGAAAGCTGGGAAGAGACAGAGAGAAAGAAAGAGTTGGGAACAGACTGAGAAAAAGAGAGATCTGGGAACAGACTGAGAGAAAGAGAGATTTGGGAATAGACTGAGAGAAAGAGAGATCTGGGAACAGACTGATAAAAAGAGAGATCTGGGAACACAACTGAGAGAAAGAGAGAGAGATGTCAACAAAGAAAAAAGAAATGCAGAAATTATTTTGGAAAAAGTTCTTGAAATGTTGGTTCTTGTAGTAAGTGGCTAAATAATGTTGAAATATTTATCCAATTCCAAACACTCCTTTCTTTAGTATATTTTCACAGTAATTTTGTTATCAATGTGATGATAATTAAAAGTTCATCAACCTAAAATTTAATTAGGTGATGAGTCTGTAGTTAGGAATAGTTTTAGAGCTGAAATATCATTACCACTAATCCTAAGCACTCCAACAATACCACATGATATCAAAATCACAGTATCCAAGTACAAAATCTATAGAGATCCAACCATTGTCCTATCTTGGAGCCTTTTCATTACCTTTTTTCCAGTGCTTCTGTAAGAAATACATTCATTTGACAGCAATGTTTTCTATATCCTGTTCAAAAAGCCTTAAAATCTCTTAGGCTGTAATCATAGACCCCACCATGACTATGTAAACAAGTTTCAGCATATGAATAAAATCAACTAAACATTTATCCATTGTTAATTAAGTCTCCATCAGTTATAGTCAGGCTGGCTCCCCAAGAATAAACGGTAATTATAAAATTCCTATAAGGGCATAATTAATTGTAATAAGAAAGTAAATGGAGCAAAATAACTGCACGACTTAAAGATAATCTATGGAATTTTAAGATCAAGGAGAAAAAACATAAACAAATATGAGAAGTATGAATATGTGTAGAAATTTCATGCTTATTTAGACATTGAAATAATAAAAAAGGACAACATTCTCTGTGAGAAGGAAGGAAAAAAAATGATGCATATATATATATACCTGTATCAAGGTCATTTTTTTTTTTTTTGTAAGGATTTCACCCAAACCGATTCGAGAGTGCCACTGGTTCGCCGGGGTTTATATTGAGTGAAAGTGAAAAAAAAAACTGTGTATAGGGGGAATGAGGAAAGCATAAAAGTTGAACAGGGTTCAAGACATAAGAAAAAGGTAATTGACGTTGCATTTAATTTTTTGAAGATTGTAGTTATCAGGGAAGCAAGTAAACAGAAGGGAATTCCACAGGCAGGAAGTGTGAGAAAAGAAGCTGTTGGAGTAGAAGTGGCTGTTACATTTAACTATTTTAATGATAAAAGGGTGCAACCTAGATGCCAGTCTTTATGTAGACAGAGCACCAGGGAAATAAGCTTGATAGAACAGTAGCCATGGAACTAGAAAAGACAAAGGGAAGCCACATCATGTCTGTGAGAAAGGGATTGAAGTCAAGATGCTTGGTTTGAATCAATTACATTGCAGATCCTTCTTTGGATTTTGTTGGTGACCTTGAGATATAACTGCACATATAAATGTACACACAGGTATACATACACACATATGGTGAATGAAAAATGGAGAAACAGAGAGATATGAACAGAGAGAAAGAGAGAGATGTGAACAGATAAAGAGAAAGAGAGAGAAGGAAACAGATAAAAAAATGTGAACAGCGAGAGAGATGTGAACAGAGATAGAGATGGGAACAGACAGAGGAAGAGTTTTTATATATATATATATATATATATATATATGTGAACATACATATGAAATGACTGAGATAGAAACAAAGAGATACAAATCAACAAAGGGTGTGATGTGAACTGCCTGAGAAACAGATATATGACTTGCCCAGAGACATATACGTACAGAGAGAGAGAGAGATATGAACTGATTTATATTGGTGTATAAACTGGGACAGAGAGAGAAATGAACAGACTGAGATATGGAGAGAGAAAGAGAAAATGTGGAAAATTCTAACTCACCTTTTTGATTTTAGCCTCTTTGATTTTCTCAAGTGCGATGCGTATTTTCTCAGCCTGGAGCCTTGCTTTCTGTTCCTCCTGAAATGAAGAACACAAGACGATAATTCCATGGAATCAAAACAAATCAACTCAGCAGATGTGAACTCATTTGGCCCTTGATTTCCATTCTCTTAGAATTTTGTAGTCTTTGAGTCATATACAGCCACTCCCCACTTAACTTACTTGTTTATTGACAACACCCTGGACATAAGACGATACTCATAAAATAAAAATCCAATCCGTATTGTACTTATACCAAAACTCTGATCTTCACAATAAATCAATATAAAGTGAAAAATATATATAAAAAATTTACTTATATTGTATTTACAGTATGCAAAATAGATGTTTGGGTGATGTAAAAGAATGAGAAATTGAAGAGCTGAGTTTGAATTTCAGTTAAGTTCATTACATTTTTCTTTTATGTGGCATATCTTTTCAGGATGTTGGTGATCATGGCTCTACACAATTTTCTATCTTTTGTAGCTCTTAGTAAATTTTATCTTTTTGCTATTTCTCCAAATTCCTGTTCTGTTATCCATTTACACAACCTCACTAGGTAGGTTACCCACTATTTTCCTCTATCCCTCTTGCCTTCAATATGTCCTGTGAGTATCATATTTTCCAAGCCTTATTTCCTCATTATGTGCCCTAGAAATTTCAACTATCTTTTTTCGATGTTAAGTAAAAGTCTCCTTTTTGTTTCCATCTTGCTCACATGTTTGGTCCATGGTATTCTCAGCATCATTCTGTAAAATCACATTTCTGTTCCTTTAAATCTCTTCTTTATCTGCAAGGGGATTGCCCAGCATCCACTGTTATATATTAGGATTGATATTACAAAACACTCCAGTATTCTTTTCTTTATTTCTAATGAAATTTTCCTGTTTCTTAATACTTTGCTTAAATGTTAGAAGGCATTTTTTGCTATCCCAATATGCATCTGGATTTCAGTGTTGCTCTCTGTTAAAACACTTCCCAGATACACACATGCAAATAAATACCCTTTGAAAAGGTGTGGATCCATCTCCATACCTACCAGTTATGAGTTAAATAACAGGGAAGCCTGGCCTCTTTATTCAAAACCAGTTGGGCAAGCAACTTAATAACCTAAAAACCTACTTGTTAGGAGAAGTACAGTAGTTGCTGATAATGTTGCCGAGAGCTGTGGATCCATACATCCCCAGTGGAGTCTATGGGATCCAAGTGTGTGAGTAATACGCAAAACAAAGTAATGTACAGAATATCAAGCTGGTTTTCAAATTTGTTTATTATGTTTACTATTCAAGTACGTTTGTTTATGTTATGATGTTGATTTGGGGTTAGTAGAGACAAACGCCAAATAACACGTAACAATAAAAAGGGTTTTAATAGGTTGGTAAAAAGGTACAGAAATCGCCTGAGTAGTCAATAACTAGCTCAGCTAAGAACTTCTCTGTCTATCTCTCCCATGTCAACTGACATGCCACTATTTAAAGTCTTTGTTCGCAGACAAGTTCATCTTCCAGAGGGGTGGTAGGTTTCCGACACAACAGTTTATAAACATTTACAAATAAATTAGAAATGTTAAAAATGTTGCAAAAAGTGATATTAAAAGCATCTAAGTGAATGTAACAAACTTGAATGGAATTTTAACTCAGCTTGCTCCAATTCCTCAATGCAAGCCTCCTTCCATTACTCCATTGTGCATCCATATTAATGTTACAAAATAATACAATAATGACATTGGCTTATGGCCACATCATGCTGAACCATTGGTTCCTGTACAATCACTGAAATGAAGCAATACTGAGCCTGGTTAGTACCTAGATGGGTGACTGCTTGGGAATACCACATGCAGCAAGCATTAGTGTGCTGGTAGTTAAATATATAATGGCTCAAAATTGTTAATCGGAGAACTGAGTCTCAATTCCAGTTGGGTTTGTTATATTCACTTATGTGTAAATATCCTAGGGAAAGGTATGAATTCACCCCTTCTCTCTCCAGCTATGGGGTAATTAGTAAAACTTGTATCACGAAGCCATTATTATCAGCAAAAAAATAAATAAAAAAATTCTTAAAATGTAAAAATATTTTCTGGATTTAAATGGGTTGATAAGCCATAGAAAATGAATCAATCAATGATAAAAGTACACATTAAAGCTATCTGAAGCTGGTTAGCACAAACCTATTACATATAAGGTATGTCTGAAATAGCAGATAAAACTTCTCATTTAGTGACCAGCTTGTTGAAACAGAATGCAGTTGTTAAATGGGGAATGGCTGTACTTAAAGTTTTTCATCTTTTTTTTTTTTGTAGATGTGACATATATTATAAATATTTCATCTTAAGATGATACAGACACTCAACACATCGTGTACACTAGAGGTATGTACAAACAAGGGTAAAAAAAAAAGCATTCAAAAATCTAAGGTTAATATAAAAAGGAAGAAATTAGGAAGGAACATGGACACATATGATATAAAATACACAAGAAAAAGATGAGTTGGAAGGAAATGTCTGTGATGGTTACTAAATAAATGGCCAGAGAAATTCAATAGGATTTTAATAACTGATGAAAAAAATATCTGAATTTCTGGGAAGTGGAGTTACCATTACTTACATTCAGACTAATATCCTAATCTTTCTTATTATCATCTTATAACTGAATTTCTGCAATGATGAGTTATCATTATTTACATCCATATCATTTTCCTCATTTTTGTTGTTATTGTTATCCAGTCACAGTCTGACTTGAATTTCTGAGATAAGGAGTTATCATGACTTACATTCAGACTAATATCCTAATCTTTGTTGTTATCAGTTGATCAACTTCTGACTGAATTTCTGGGATGAGGTGTTGTTATTATTTACATTCAGATTAATATCCTCATCTTTGCTGTTATTATCACCTGATCACCTTTTGATTGAATTTCTGGGATGGAGAGCTATCATTATTTACATTACTTACATTCATGCCAGATGAAAACTGGAGAGTACAACAAGCAAAATGTTGTGATAACAAGAACAATGATAATGGAGAGATTAACTGTTTCCTTATAAGGAAACATTTGGCATTTATCGACTGAACAATTAGTGTTACTGCTAGTTGAAATTTATAAAATATTTCTATTGAAACAAATTTTCAGGAAAATAGGTTTCTCGTGTCCAATAACTTGAGAAAGGCATGAACTCATTTCTTCTCACTCTCACTTATGGGGTAAACGGCAGGATAGATAGAGCAACAGCTAATATAAAAGGAGAACTCAAAACTATGGAGAAGGCAACAGGAAACCACTCAAGAATTCATGGCCACTTTACAGATTATAAAGAAAAGGAATCTGTAGCATGATCACTTATGTCCGAAAGGCATTTAAAACTGTGGAGATTGCAAACCACTCCACTATCTTTCCTAAGAATGCATGTCATTCACAGGTAATAAAGAAAAGGAATTTGTGGAGAGCTATGATTACCTATTTTCTGATGGGACATGGCATTTGAAACTATGTAAAAGGCAATGGGAAACCACTCCACTCACTTTCCCAAGAAGTCATAGCCACTTTACAGATAAAGATAGGAGTCCATGGAATACTATGAACACCAAAGTCCTAAAGGAGTATGGCATTAAATAAACAAAAAGACAAAACTGAAATATATTTTTTTAAAATAAGCAAAACAAATCATAGCTCTTTAAAGTGTTTTGCTGTTTTATCTTTTAAATTAGATCTTGATGGTGATAGCAAAAAAATTATTTACAAAGCTGTCTTTTTAAACTAAATGTAATAATAATTCAAAGTATGTTAAATTTAGTTTCCATTGTTTTAAATCAGATTAACGCATCAGCATTTAAAAAAAAAAATGTAAATGATTCCGAGAAATAATATTGATTTTTATAAATGATTATTATAAGTTTCATGGTTCAACCGACTTTCCAAAATCTGACTAAATGACCAACCATTAGTGTATTATTTTGTATCTGTATGTGAATGGCTAGCTACACATTTCCAACTTTGTCCATCTGCAAGGATAGATAGCTATTCCATTTCAGACAAACACTCTGGCACATTTATTTTTTTTACAGAGCCAACCTGTGGGTTTATGTGAATCTAAGCTGAGTGGATCTTAATTACAGTTTCTGATAGAGAGAGCACATAATCTGGCATGAATGTAGATGAACAAGGTGAGTACACTCAAACCCTTGGTCACGATGACTTGTGACTTCATGCTAGCAAAACCATTGATGGCTTCTGAACAGTTTCATCTACCCAATTTCACTCACAAAGGTTGGGTCAACTCGTGACGGACCAATATTATCAAGAAGTCACCTCTCTGACTAATCGACTATGGTGAGATTCGAACCCAGGTCTCATGGTCAGAATGCTGATTCTCTTACCACTTCCATTATTACCTATATATTAATACAGTAATATCTACTTTTTTGAAAGACATATTGAAGAGGAGGAGAGGGAAACAAGTGTGCAATTGGATGGCAAAGTGGGGGGGGGGCTACTGGGAGGGATAGTAAGAGGATAAACATTGCTTTGAGCTACAAGGGACAGGAAGCTGTGGAGAGCCATAATACTCCACGTCCTGAAGGGACATGGTGCATAAGAAAAGAAGTATCTACCTACCTTCCTATGTAAAGTGTACAGCATGCTCTAAAAGAAAAATATATTAAAACTGCACCCATTTCAAAAGATTAAACGAGCAAAGGAGTAATAAAAATCAAGATTGAAAGCCTGTGTCTTTCTTTCATCTCTTCCTTTTTTTTTTCATTTTGTTTCTTCTCTTTCTTTCTTTCTTTATCTTTTACCTTCCCCACTTCCTTCTTCCTCTTCATAGAGTGCACAGATATTACACTGATCCAAGAGAGAAATACCAGGATGCAACACTTCGACCTGTGTTTAAGTTTTTATTAGTTTTTCCAGATAAAATTTACAGAAAAAACATCCAAAGTTCATAATGCTTTCAGTTAAGTCATGACTAGAAAAGGTCAAAAGTTCTCAAATATAAAATTTATAAACTGCAAACTGCTTCCTTATAATTTTGATTCAGATGTGAGATGACTTAGATGTAAACTGAGCAAATATTATAAAAAAATTAAACAAATGGCTAGAGATAAGTTTAAGTTCTATGCTAACCATTTCTTCTCTGACACACTATGCTTGCGGAGACTCTCTTCCGACTTCTTGCTTTCCAGTCAAATTCGATCTTCAAAAATTTAAATGCATTATCAATCATTATCTTCTGTCTTTTTAATTTCCATTCTTTTATTGTTTTCACTCCTTATCAATGTTTTTCATATATTTTTTCACATTCAGTAACACCCTGTTTGTTAGTGGCTTTTTTGCATTGCTTGACATGAAATGATTAAAAAAAAAAGGTAGCACTTGTTAGTCAGTCAGTTTTAATAAAATTTGTTAGAATATATATATTTCAAATGATATCTGCATGAGATAAAGGAGTATGCCTGTATTTCCACCCTATAGCTCTCAGAATTAGTGGTATTACAATACAATGAAAGATTTGGCAAAGTTTAACCTTTGAACCTAAAATAAATTGTTCATCAAAAGGATAGTTTTTCTCTTGAGACTATTATTACTGTTTACTCCCATGTGTATTATTTTAAAAATCTATGTTTAGAATTTTAATAAAATACAAACATATGAAAGTTGATCATTAGATTTTCTTTGTTCTTGAGAATTTACAGCAAAAATATTAAACACTATTTATTTATTAGATTGTTTATTTACAAGAATAATTTTATATTTACCAGATTATAAAAATATGGGAACCAAAATATATATGACGGCAATTTTTTTTATTAATAAACTTATAAAAATTTACAAAATTATAAAAATATGTGATAATAAAATATTTATTATTCCACCATTTTATAAAGAAATACATATGAAAGAGAACTTTTTTATTCATAAATTTATAAAAATGTCTGTGAACAAGAAAATTTAAATAAACACATAATGATGAGTAACTGCAATTAAAACCATTGAAAAAATGCATTTTCCAAGCAGTTCTTTCATTTGCTCTTGCCACATAAATTCACTAAAATAGGTTGAGAGCATATTTTCTTTTGAATTTAATATATTTGAGTGTGTATATATACCTAATCATTGGGTGAACAAAGTTTTCCTTGAGTATAATTACAGATGTAATTATCGTTAAATTCCCAGATCAATTCTGTGGAGAAGACAATTTGATATAAGATGACAATTGGAAAAAAATCTTAGTTTTTTGCCGGTGTGTTTCGTCTTCCAACTTTTTCAAGGCAAAAATGAAATCAAAATGTTTTTGTTGCTATAATAGTTACATTAAAAAATTCAAATTTAAAAAAAAGAAATACTTCTGTGTAAGCCTCTTTCTGGTTAATGTAAATTTCCTTTATACTAAGAGATTTTTTTTTCTTTCCATGTTGACAATATAGTTAAATTCCCAGATCAATTCTGTGGGCAAGACAAATTGTATTAATTTATTGTTGTAGCATATCTACAGACTATAATGGGTACATCGCCATTCACATAAATACAGTGGTAAATACTCTATGTTGGTCTGCAGTTGAAGATTCATTGTGGAATTCACTTGACTCACTTCTAGCAGGTGATTACTTCTTCTACACACTGCTGGTGAATCTTATATGTGTTGTTCTTGTCCTAAGTATTACCATTCATTACCAACCTTCATGTGATTATTCTATTCAGTAATGTTCCCTAAGTTACAACATTTACATTAACCAGAAAGAGACTTATGCAGAAGTATCTCTCTCTTTTTTGAATTTGGATTTTTTAATGCAACTATTATAGCAACAAAAACATTTTGATTTCATTTTTGCTTTGAAAATTTGGAAGA